CTAGCTTGTTGTTTCTTAGGCTTCCTCTGTGACACAAGACAATGATTGTGACAATACTATGAGTTCAAGAAAGCCTTGTTTTTTGCTTGATTCCTCATGTATACAGAATAGTGTATTCCATTTTGGGCTGCATTATGGCTTTCGATGCGTCAGTAAGTTTTAAAATAAAGAGGCTTAAATATAAAAAATTAAATACAAAATGCTGGCTCAAGGGGGGGGGGGGGGGGGGAGGTCATTTCTGAATTTCAATCAATTCAACAATCATTTGCGCTCTCAGGGGGGAGAACTATAACTTTCTTGGGATATTATGGGAGGGGCCAAACAAAAAAAAAAAAAAAAAAAAAAAAAAAAAAAAAAAAAACAAAAAAAAAAAAAAAAACCCTGTAAATTAACATGTGTTTGTCTAAAACAAATACACCTGAAGCCGATTATGCATGGCGACAAAAAAGAACGACTTTGAATGAATTTTCTAAAAAATAGCAGCATAATGCCCATAAAAAACTCACCATTGCCACACAGTTGGGCAGTTGTAAAAATGGGATCCGGGGGATCTGGCTAATTTTTGTGTCATGATTGGTTCCTATGAACCAAAGCGGTAGGCGGAAAAAAAAAAAACAGGGGAATAATGTGATTCCAGCAGATCTATGAATTGCAAAAAACATATCAAGCGCTTTGAATACTTTCTTGCTCATGGTAATTAATAACATTTTCCATATAGCATATTTCAGCACATATCACTACTGACTAATAAAAGTTCCAGTGTTCCTTGTAATAAAAAAGGGGTTTAAGCTGTTTCGTGGGGGATGGACCGTAACACCAAGCCGGCAAAATATATCATAAAAATATTTTTTTTTTAAATTCTTGGTGCATAGCATTTGACTTCCAAACATTATAATGGAAGCACCATAAGTGAATCATATAGAGAAAATGCTCTCGACAACAATCTTATTCCCGTAAACACACACACACACAACAACAAAAAGGGGGGGGGGAGGGACAACACAAAAAAACAGGGGGAGGTGGGGGAAAAAAACAGGCAAAAAAGCGAAAAAAAGGGGGGAAGGAAAGAGAGAGAAAAAAAGGAACCATTCGGGCGGCGGGAAGAACGGGGAGCGGGCTGCGTGTCGTGAAAGGACAAAAACAAAAGAGGAACAAACAAGAACACAAATCGTGCAGAAAAAAAAAACCAAAACCAAAAAAAAACCTCATATTCGACTGCAGCACATGCATCATAAGGAAACTGAATGGGAGATGTGCTGTATCTGCATTGCGACGCGTTCCACACAATCATGCGATCAGGTAGAAAACCCCAATACAAAAACGGGGGGGAGAGGAGAAAGCGTTGTAGGTCGCGTTGTTAGGAATTATGTACTCATATATATAAAGTTTTGCACGTGGCAAAGTATACAGAAGGGCGCGAGGCTTTGTAAAGTGGGATGGCAAAGGTAAAAGAAGCGCGGTTTTGGGCTCCTGTGAATGTCTAATAAAGTTACACAACTGTGGTAAGACATAACCATCTAGCGTGGAAAATCTAAAAACGATAAGTAATAATTATTAATGGCATGATAGCGGGGGGAACTATCTTTACGCTGTTTTGAAAATACAGCTGTAAGTAATGTCTAAATTGTATAAGGATTACTAAAATAGGGTGTGAGTTGTGCACTATGCACTAACTGTTCCTAGAGCAATGTCACGGTTTCACAATCATACAAATAGGAATGTTATTTCATGATAGGAGATATACGCCACCAATCATATATACTTACGTCTGTCGGGAATAAAGACTCCTGAACTAACATGAAGTGCCAAAGAGCCATAATCACTACGCATGTCAACAAGGTTTTGGATATTGGAGCTATCGAGGGGGGGGGGCAAAAAAGGGGAAGACGGTCACAGAAAGGTATTTGTATGGGAAAGAGGAAATGAAAGCAATTTTGGTACAACACATAATAAATTTTCAGAAGAAAAAGGAGAATAAACGAAAACTAAAAAGCGCTTAAATGACATGAAAGTATAATTATTTATTATATGCTCGGACTTTGAAATGGAGTCTGGTAAGCGCTGAAAGATAATGCCGAAAATTTAATCATTTACCATTACCATAAATTTCTTCTTAGCTGGGGGGCCATTGTCTTACAATAAGACATCTACAAATTTTCAATTTTAATGTTTAGTTGTACGCTAAAACAACAACTGGCAGGGGTTGTTTATTAAATAAACAATTTCAAAAATATTTGATTTTGATTTGTAAAAATTTAAATTTTCATTTGGGCGGTGGTCTCTCAAAATATAGCATATGCCCTCACTAGAGAAGGAAGTGTGGCAGAAAGGTACTGACGAGGAAGAGGGAAAAATTACCGGAAAAGGACGCGAAAGCAGGAAATTCTGGGGTAGGGGAGGAAACAGTATTTAGAAGTTACCAAACTATTCGTAACTCCCAAGCTACTAGGGCTATCTGCTTTCGTGTTTACAAGCAGGAACTACCCGTATTCACATTATACCGAAGAAAAATAATGAAAACCTCATGTAGCTGGCTCATTGAACTGTAGGAATAGAGCTAGGGGCAAATTTAACCATTTAGTCAGTAAATGGTGACTTTTTAAGGGAAAGAGACTTGGTGATGAAAAATATTGAAGAACCTTTTCCCAATCATTTGAGGAAGCTAAACATGGGAACAACAAATATTTTGCATTTTAGTATGCAACTGATCAACATTATTAAGGATTATTAAAAAAAGTAATACTAAAAATAATGTATTAAAAATGAAGAGTTAAAAAATGCTATATAAATTCAAGAAAAAGAAAATTCTAAAGATTTTAGGAGTACATAATAAATTTATATTTTATAATCAGAGTAATAATTTTTCCATATACCATGCCAGGGTAATTTGTTGTACTGTTTGAGAATCTGTATTTTGACAGTCTTGGCTCTGGTGGTATAAAATACATGGACTTTGCTTCTGCCTGATATACTATCCAACCAGGTAGTGTAACAGCCAGGCTATTAAATATCGGTTCTTACAAATTCCACACCCTTCATGGTGGGCTGACAGTTATTAGCCTTTCAAGTTCTAAAAGAAATGAGGTAAGCAGGCTTCAGGGCAGAAGCATTTGTGAAACATTTCTTGTGAAACCACTTTTCTCACATTATAAGGATTTAAGCCAAAAGAGTATGCTGAATAGTGCTTAGTTAACTGTTTATTGCTTAATTAGCTGGGTATTAGTAAAGTTAGCTCACATACAATTATTGTTAATTTATCCTATGTGAGCAGATTTACCTGTTCTTAAGTAAATGTAATGCAACTTCCCCCCCTAGAAATTTCTTTCTTTTTCTTCTTTTTTATATTTTTTTTTGAATGATATACTCTTTGTCTTACTTATTTTATATATGTTCTTAAATTAAAGGCAAGAAAAGGCTGCTGCTGCCAGACTTAAAAAAAAGAATCACTTCTTTCATTTAGATGAAAAAAAAGAAGGATTGAAGTTAGAGAAAATTTGTATATAGTAGTGAAATAAATTTTATATATGCAAGTCCGTTGTATGTGTACTTTTGATTCTAGTATTTTTCGTTAGAGCTATGTTTTTTAAATAGGTTCTTGAAACATCTGAAATTTGCTGATTTCAGTACGTTTCTGAAATATTTTTATTATTATTATATAGTTTAATATTTTTTAGTTGATGGTCTCTCTTGGACTTATAGTCCTTCTTTTATTCTAATATCAAGCAACACATATATGTATATATAAATAAGCAAAATGGATAAAATTTTTCAATTAAGAAGAACTTCTCTACATTTGATTTGTATGTAATATGAGAAAGATCAAAAGAAGTAAGTAAAAAAAATTTGAAATTTCCTTCTTTCACATGTAATGCTGAAATAACTTACCTATTTCGGTATTAAATTTTTCATTTGTGTACCAAACTATTCATATATGTTAAGGAAATTCTCCCTAGGGACCAAACCGGCCGTGATAAGTGAGAAACCCGCGAAGTTTTCTACGTAACATACGTTTTTTGGGTGTTTTAATATCAAACCATAAACATATACGTTTCATTATAAACATTAAAGAATAGTTTCAAAACATTTAAAAAAATATAATAGTTTAAATAACATACATAAAAAATCTGTATAAATAATATAAAATAATATAGTGGTAACATACATATTAACGTAGGGTTACATTTACATATTTTGTACAGTATCTAATAAAGTGTACATACTGTAAATATGTTTTTAGAACTCTTTTATTCTTAAACCAGCTTTCCTTTTATAACAAGGTACGTAAAATTTGACATAAATGCCTTTCGCTGATCCTTACAAGTGTTGATGAAACACCTGTTCAGTAGGATGAAGGTGAAGAAGATGAAGAGGATTTACTGCACAGGTTAATGAGAGCTTTACTGCTCATCAGATGACGCTTCATCATCGTGCTAGGGGTTCTGGATTATTGCAGCGGGCAGTCGGATTGATAGAGGCAGCAGAGGAGCTTTTTGGGAGGAATGATTTTCAGCAACAACAAGGATATCGATGCTGGGGGAATTCCCTTGTACAACTCTGTCATAAGTCTTAAGCTTAGAATGTAAGGCTGAACCATTTTCCGTCTATTTCTTGGGCCCTTTGTTGTAGAGTCTGTGCTATGTTTCAGAGCTCTTGCAGGTTTTCTAAAATAAGGCTATGTTCTTCAGCTTTGTTATCATCACCGTCGTCAGCTACCTCCTCTTCTTCCTCATTCGTTCATATTGTCATTTCGACGAGTTCCTTGTCGGTTAGGGGATTCGAGTGGCACTCAGTGTGTTCACTTCTTCTGTCGTCATGTCGGGGAACCTGTCAATGGCTATCAACCGAGCCAGCCTCACAGCCTTATCTACGGCGAAGTGGTGAATTTCGTCAGGCGTAAATCCCTTGTAGTCATGGGTGACGTTTTTTAGCCACAATTTCCTCCAACTTGCAATCAGTGTCTGTTCTTTCATCTCATTAAAAGCATTTTAAATGTTGACCAGGCACATTGCAATGTTGTATCCCTGTCAATAGTTCTTCAGGCTGAAGGCCACGTTGTTTTCGTCGATGGAGGAGATGAGGCCCTCCATCGTGAACCTCGTGTAGAGGGCCTTGAAGGTCCGAATGACCCCCTGATCCATGGGTTGTATAAGGAAAGTGGTGGTGGGGGCGAGGAACTCCATCTTGGACCCCCGTCATAATGGAGACTCGTTTCATGCCTTCCTGCACAGTCAATGAAGAGTACGACTTTAAAGGGCAGCCCCTTTTCAGCGAGGTGCAGCTTCACCAGCGGGGTAAGCAATTTACGAACCAGTCGAGTGTGAGGGCTTTAGTTATACATGCCTTTTTATTGTGCATCCAGTAGATGAGCAGCAAGGCTTTTTTTTTTTTTTTTAAATTGAGAAGATTTAGGGAGTTGTAAATTAAACTGGGCTTGAGCATGAAGCCCGCAACATTCCCACACATGGGGAGAGTTACTCAATCTTCATGGGCCTTGAACCCTGGCCTCTTCAGTTCGTCCTTATAAAGGAACATCCAGGACTGCATCCTCTTCCAGAAGAGGCCAGTCTTAGTGCTCCTCATACAAAGGAATGCTATGAAGGCCAAATCTCTTCTTGAATTTCTTGAACCAGCCCTTGCTGGCAATATAACCACGTTTATCTTATGGGGTAGCATCACTCAAGGCACTGGTACTAGGCTGAGGTTCATTTTCGTCGTCGTCTTCGTTTCACTCTCCTTCAGGAACGAGGATACAGGGCTTTGGCTTTAGTCCGAATCACATTGGTATCGAGACTAACTTTCTTTTCCCGACAGTCCGATATCCACACTGATAAGGTATTCTCCATTTTCACAATTTGCTTATTACGAGAAGTCACAACTTGCATAGTATCCTTAGAGAATGATATGGAGGCAATTTTACACTTTTATATATTCACTTTTTATATAGCGAACTGTCAATTCATTCAATCTGTATGGATCTATTACGGATTAGACGTATAGCTAATGGCCTGTCTTAAACATGCCCAATAAATTAACTTTCTAGTTCACCGTTATCATTTTTTTCTTCTTCTTGGGTTCACTAGACGATTTAGAGGGTGGAGGACATTTAGGAGCCATTTACAAGGGTGTCTCAAGCACTATTTTGCACAAAAAGACACAGGTGAACAGCAAAAATTAGCACACCTCAAGACTAAGCATCACTCAAATATTGATTTGAGTGAGCGTGGTCGTCTTCGCTGGGTATGAGAGCGAAGGTGGGGAAAACGTCTAGGCCAATCAGCTTGCAAGGAATATCAAATGTTGGGATGTTATCCGGCCAATTAGAGATGTGGATTTTGAATTGTGTTGGCACTCCCTGCCTCCTGCTGGCATGTGGGCAACTTTCGTGCCATAATTCCTCAATTTCGAATTTTTTATGAATATTTTTGAACAATCCGCAATATATTGAGGTTGCAATAAATGAACTGCGAAGTAGCGAGGAATGACTGTAATAATAATAAAAATTTAATAATTTAAAATCATTATTATTCTTTTTTCCCCAGCAAATGATGGTAATTGCATAAAATTTAGAAACAAGTTTCAAATTATGTTACTGGATGTAGCACTTTAAAAGAAAGTAAATAGAGTGTACAAAACATGATGATATTTTAATTTCACTTCTCTTTTCTTATCATAAAATAAGATGAGAAAGGTATGCAAAATGATTTGTTGTAAAAAGTTTTGTTATATGATGAATGTCATTATCAAACACATGAAGCAACAATGGAATGTACCTTCATTCCTAAGACAAATTGTTTCTTTGCAATTTATTGCTTGCCTGAAATTGAAATTGTTTAATGCTATTTATTATCATAAAATGTTAAGAAAACCTGAAGGGGAGAGCAATGATAAAAGCAGTAATTAGGAATCTTCAAATGAATACTTCTGTTGATTAATTCAAGGAAGATTTCAAAGGTAAAGAAATTCCTTTTCTCAAAATTAAGCCCATCTTGGTTGAGAGAAGAATAATAAATTATGTGTCAATGATCTTTGGAATGACGAAGGCAAAAAAACGTACAGTTAAATTAACCTTAAAGTGAAGATTGATACATTTTAGGCAAAGGCTGATCAACATAACATTGCAACTTCCAGAGCTTCAGTTGATGTCAAAGAACCTACCCAGGTGAGATAAATATGTTCAAGAATAGAGATAAATGGGAAATAAAAATTAAATTGTACTACTTTCTTGGAAAACGTGTAGTAAGTGGTAAAACAAATCCCGAATTTACAAATAATGGAAATACTTGTAAGGAAATTCTCAAAATATATAACAGTAAAAGCAGGAAAGTGATTTTAATAAAGAAAATGAAAAATGATTTACCATAACCTTAAAAATCATTAGGAACTTACTGAACACCAAAAATGTAATTCTTATGCAGGTGGGATTAAATAAGACAAAACTATTTTGAATATAAATGATATGACTGTGAGAGTATAAACAGTAACAGCAATCCATGGTTAAAAATTGGGATACATGAACTAATTAGTGAATTTGTGGATATATTTCATAAATAACTTTATAAAGTATTTCTACCGTCTTCTTAGCGAGCCTTTTTGGTGTAGTGGTCTGCATGTTCAGCGCGTAATTGAGAGGTCCGCGATTGGATTCCCGGCGAAGGCGTTGCTTATTTTTCAATCTCTCTTGCTTCCAAAAATACCTAATGCTTTACAACTTTAGAAGCAAATATTATTTTCCTTTAAGATAAAATGGAACAAAGAATAACAGAAAAACACATTTTTCAGCATCCCTAAAAAATCTTAACAGTAATAGTGTTTGTGAATAATCCTTATACCAGCTGCGTAGTACTAGTATAGAACTAATGATCCGTTTGCTGTGATTATAAATCTTAATGTTTTGAGTCATTCCTGTTCAGAAAGTTGTAATATGGCATGGGGTTTCTTCTGCTTTCATATAGCACAAGAGCAGAGCATTCATAATGAAACCTTTGATACATCAAAACTGCGTGAGAAGCAATTTCGATGGGAAAATATATTTTAATGTTTCATTTGTAACTGGCTTTTTGCTGGCAGGAATTGCTAGTAATTGGTTGAAGCTAGATGAAAATGCCAATAACTACCAGAAACTAATTAAAAGTATTTAAAATCTCTTTAGACATGACAACATCCTTAGATGTCATGACAACATCCAACTTTTTAATTCGTATCTAAAATGTAATCTTGCCAACGGCCTACTTATATTTAAATGTAATCAAATGTCTGTAAATGGGTTTTCATTATTGAATTTTATCAAACAGTGATTCAGCTTGCAATACATAAATTCAAGACCAAAAGACTACTTAATGGAAAGTGTTTATTTTCTCTAATATGTCTAAAATTAACATAAATGATTCAGATTCAATGATGCAGATATATCGAAGAATTTAGACGATTGTACTGTGTCTACAAGAAAGCATTCAGTGTTCCAGATGGCATGGGAGTGCTTTTTATATGCGAAAAATAGTTCTTGAATTTATCATCAGGTTGTTAACGGCGGGTCTATGCAGACTTTATATGGCGTAAATTGCTGCTTACTTGCTTACTGTTCAAGAGCAATTTGGACATAATTTGCTGTGTAACAGTATTTCTTACACTATATGGCACAGCATTTTCTAAGTCGATTTTGCTGCATGCTGCAGATCCAAATTGCTACGGACGTACGATCATTGCATAGCTTGAACGATGCTCAACTTGTTTGTATTTTAATTCTTTTGCCCATTAAAGTATTCCCTACTATAGTCCACGTATTCCTAGATAAGGGGGAACAAATGCTATGCGATAATAATATTTGTACACTGCGTAAAAAAGGGGGATGGGAACAGTTTTATATCTTCCGTTCTACCGGGCCAATTGATGAAATTCAAATTGTGCTTTTCATGGCTCGAAAGCGCGGCTTAGGATATATATTAGATTTATATATAGCATTATTCTAACATAGGTATTTTGACATAAAATCAGACTTTTTCTGAAATAACATATAAATATTTTTCCATATTTCAGTTCTACGACTCAAATTATGCCTAGACATTAAATTTTGTAATTTTTGGTGAGAAATTCACGGAGAAATTATTAAAAATTACCTTGGCGAATTTTTTTCAGTTTGTGTCAAGAATAATTCACTAGGCGGAATTCTTAATTTATAGTAACCTACATACTTTCCTTATTTTTCATTGAATGCACGAGAGTAAAAAAGGTCCATCGTTCATTCGTTCAAATAATTTTAACAATGTGCGTAAACTACATTTTCGTTATTATCGCTTATATTAAATACGCCAAATTTCAAAACGCGGCAAAATGTAAATTTGCGTATATCTTATGAAACTTTGAATAAAAAACTCTTAATTGTTTGCAGATATGCTTAGAAATGCATCTACTTTAAGATGATGTTAAAAATTTTATACGTTATATTACAAAACTTTTTTCGAAAAATTTATAAAAAATATTTAAAAGTATAGATTTTTAAAATAAATATTGAAAAATGTGCGAATTATATTTGGATTAAGCCTAAATTTCGAATTCTGGAAGAAGGAATCAAGTACGTTTAATAAAAAACACAGATATTAATAAATATACATCAAATTCAATTAACATTGAGGAGTTAAAATTTTGAGACCTAATTTTTAAAAACTACTCGTGCGATTTTTACAAAATATGGCAGTTTGCCATAATGAGTCGAATATGGAAAAAAATTCACATGTCACCAATTTTTGTATCAAAATATCTATATTAAAACAATGCTATATATGTATAAACATAATACATATCTTAAGTCGCGCTTTCGAGACATGAAAACCGCAGTTTGAATTTCGTCAATCGGCCCAGTAGAACGGGAGATAAATATCTGACCCCCCCTTTTTTTGCGCAATGTACATTGGCTGAGTCTGGTTAAAATCCAGATTTAAATCCTATGGAAAGTATTAAAACAGTGGTTTTTCAGAGGATGAAACAGAAACCTAGCACATTGACGGAGGTACAGGAAACACGCAGAACCCATCTGCTTGCAAAGTTACGCACAAACATATATGTCGTTGAAGATCACTCCTGTTAACCATCCAAGTACAACTCGTGTGAAAGTAGAATTTTTTTTCAATTTTCGAAGCACTATGTTCAGCTATGAAATTACTCAGCGAGGCTAATTTTGAACAAATCCAAGAGGTCCTTATAC